TTTGGAAGCGATATGGAGAATATTCCATCCACCTCGTTCAGGACCAAGGGGAGCTTATATCATATCCAGAACACCATCAGAGCACCAGCTCCAAACAAGATAAAATGTGCAAATAGAATGAGATTAGGTCAATATTAAATTCCTGTGAGGGTTTCTTTGAAAGGAGCTGTGCTTATCTTTAACCTCACTTCACCTTTCAAATCCTCTGCAAAGACTCCTGGCCAAGAAGTCACATGGACTCGGTGAAAGAAACTCAAAACCGACACCTTGTGCGTCCAAGAACATGTGACGCAAGGCACGCAAACACACTCAGGCAGAGGCAGACAACAGGATTGTCCGTGTTTACCCATAATGCACGGCATAAATGTCCAGAAGTGGCAATTAAAGATTGTGCTGGAGTTACATGAATATTCAAATAAACCCACGTTAAAGTAAAAGACCAACCCAGTGGCTTGACTGGTTACTGCAGGGTCTTCAGGAGCTCATCCATAAGAGTTTCAGATTCTCTGTTGACAGGAGCTAAAATGAACACGTCTCCTCGTCCTCCTCCGTGTCCAAAGATCTGGTTTGTCTGCATTGAGCCCGGTCTCACATCACTGATATGGGTAACGCAGATTAGCAGCAGAGGAACGGTTAGTTATGAGCATCCATCGCATCACAGCATCGTGCCAATATGCCATGAACACACGGGCTAAAAATAAAACTTTGCCTCAGTGAGAGAAGGCATGGGGGGTAGAAGGCTGCAAAGTGTCCACACTAGAGATTTCAGCCATGTGGAGCTAATTATTCACCTGGTAGGTGAGGAAATGAGGCCAATGACATTTATTTACCAATTTCCCCACAGATTTGTCTAGTAAAACACAGAAATCTCTGTTAAAACACAAATATATTTGGTTCCACAGGTTTAAAACCTTCAAAGCATCAAATTTAACCTGAAAGATTATTTACAGATGAAAATTTGGGATTAAAAACAAGAGAAAACGCAATGCTGAAGAAGCCAAAACATAGTTTTCCAAGATAAAAGAAGCAGAACACTAGCTAAAAGACAAAAGTAGCAAAATACTAGCTAAAAGACAAAAGTAGTACATGCTAAAAGTAGCTAAAGGCTAACTAAAAGTAGCAGAATAGTAGCTAAAAGCTAAACGTAGCAGAAGGTATCAAAAAAGAAGCAAAACTCTGAAGTGGATTTTACAGAGAATAATAGTTTCAGGAATTGAAGAGTCTTTTCATCAAGAAATATTTGTTTAAAAAAAAAGTTAATTATAAATAAAGAACGAATGAGTTTTAAAAGTTACAGAAGAGTACAGTCATAGCACCCGACTCCTGGACGAGCTGCATGTTTTGATTTATGAACGGCTAAAATAGCACAAAGTCTGCAGAAGTATTTAGAATGAAAAAATAAAATAAAATCAGGAAAACAACAGTGAATCAGCTTCCTGAAACAACTCATTCAGAAAACCAAAAATAACTTTTGTATTCACGATAAAGGTTCACATTTTAATCAGCCATCTGTTGCTTCATTGCTTGAAAGAAAATTGTCACTTCACAATAAACTTTAGATTAAAACAGCTCAGCCACCCTTAAAGAAATCTCGCCTCATTAGTTGTTTCACACAGAGAAAAGGAATGGAACTCACCACCGCTGCACCAAAACGTGAATATTTATGAAAGTCATTGAGATCAACAGAAACTCTTCAATCTGCAGCCTGAAGTTCACACAGGAGTCACCATACAGCAATAATCCACTTAATCCTTAAAATCTGGAGGGAAAAAATGAAGTATTTCCTTCAAGTCCTACTCTGTGGAGGTCGTTCTCCTCTTATGGCAGCCGGCTGGTGGTGGTAGTGCAGGGTGGGGTGGAGGACAGCTGTCTCTGACGCACGGTGGTGTCCTGCAGTGAAACTGGAGGACTTGGTCCAGGTGAGATCAGATCAGAGCAGTTCCCACACAGCTGGTCCCTCCTCAGGCTAAACAACATCTTAATTCTCACAAAGTGACAAAGAGGAGAGGAGGTGCTGTACATAGAAATGTACATTATCTAAGGTGAAGTACGTATTTGTTGTTTCTGATCATGGTTTTTACGTATATATGTATATATTGACATTCCACATGCTGTGCACTGTCATTTGTCTGTATAACACTTATTAATACGTATGTTTGATTAAGTTCAACCACAGGGACAGATGAAAATGGAAGAATGCAGAGCGTTTAATCACAAACCGTGAATTTAACTTTAGAAAATGTCCATCAAATGGAGGTCAGCAGATGAAACATGATCAAACTGTGTATGAAATTCAGAATTGAAGCAGGAAATGTGAGGAACATCAATTAAATCAATTAACGACAGGCGTGCAGTTTCAGCTTGTTGACAACAGGGGGCGGCATAACAACATATTTACTACCAGGAAGTTTCATTTATTTATTTATTTATTATTATACATTGCTGCAAATATCTCCAGCTTTTTAATATTTAACACTCTAAGTTATGATGTTGCCTCCAGGCAACACAGCCTATTTTAGCTTCTAAAGTAAACGAGAAAATTTAATTGGTCGACGCTAATACAAGGGAGGGGAACTCAAATACTAACCAATGGAAGTGCAAAAAAAGTAGCTACATGATCCATAGAGTTTCATTTTCCTACTTTTACTTACTTACGTGTGAACATCTCACATAGCTCCACATTTCCTTCACAAAATAGTGCATTTTTCACTTATTTTCACCCCGTCACATATGAACCACCTTTAGTGGTTTGTAAATAAGTGTTATCAAATACTTTACATGACATGTAGTCAACTGTAGAAAAGTGGTTTGTTTTTTTTCTTTGTCTGAGGCTAAGTAATATAAAACCTAGAATGCAGAGTTTCCATACATACATATTTATTTATTTTTTAATGTGGACATTCTTGTGTTTAAATACATCCATACATGAAAATGGAAGTCAGCGCCTCACTTATTTTTTAAGTTATTGCACTCACAACATGCACAGACGGATAGACAGACAAAGGGTATTTACAATTACCCATTTTCACTCCGCAACAGGTGACAAAACACTCTGATAGTGACTGCTAATAAATTAAATACTTAAACTCTAAAAACAAGTTCTCATTCAGAAAGAAAACTACCGTCCTGTAACATTTAGAAACCTGCATCTGGTTTCTCTCTGATTCTTCTGAGCCTGGAATGTCCAGGTGACTTGCAGCACAACAAGATTTATGCAACTCGCCAAATTATTATTTTTTTAAAAGTCTGACCTGCAGAGGAATGTTATCTCTTTTCATGACTCGAGCAATAATAAATAATGACAACAGACATAATGATAATTATGATAATAATAATCATTATTATTATTTATAACATGACAATAAACAGAGTTTCAGGAGGTTTTAACAAAATCATGTTCATTTTATCAGTTGAGCTTCTAGTAGGAGCACAATAAATGCCATAAATATTTTCAGTAGTTTTTTTATTTTCTAATTCATTAACCTTTATTTATACAGGTTAGATTTAAAACAATTAAGTTATATAAAAAAAAGTCGGTTTGAATTGTTGCAATACTGAAATTTTCACTTAAATACGGTTTAGCTTTTGTTTTTGCAGGTTTTAGCAAGTCTCTCAAATGAGGCCTACGTTGCCAGTTGATTGACGTGTCAACCATCCAATCAAATGCTTCCATTCAGCCCCAGTCCAGCCAATCGCTGTGGTGACACTGCGGGCAGTGTAGCGTAGGCGGGACCGAGTTTCAGGTGCACAGGTGCAGAAGCTTCCACTGATATGAAGATGGTTCCGCTTGTTTTAATGTTTTTAATCAACGAGGGGTGATTGTTGTAGACTCTAATTGGTTTTCTGAAGTTGGTCTAAAGTTGAAAATACGAGTAAAAAGTGCGTCTGTTGTTAGCTAGCTACTCTAGCTGTGAACAATGTGGTAAGTGCTTGTCTATTGTATGTAGCAACATTTTGTTTTGAAGACCTCGTATGTTGTACATTTCAAATATTTTTTTTTTGGGACAGACTGAGACGTTTAATATATTTTTTCATGGTTTTAAAACTCTAAAACAAAGATATTTTCTGACGATTAAAAGTTATATTTTGTGCGCATGCGCATTTTTGACTGCGCTGTCCAGGGTTCTGTGTTGTTTGCGTTGACTTGAGGGGAAACGCCAAAGTCACTATATTTATTATAAATAGGATAGATTTATTGCGGGTTAGATTTAGTGACAGCCAGTTTGTTTTATATTTTTAACCAACTGTTTTAGCCGATACTTTGGACACTTCTTAGTGTGTTATCAAATACGAGCTAAAAATTGCGCCCGTCGTTAGCTAGCTGTGTGAGCTAAATATGTGGTAAGTAGTTGTTTTGAACTCAAGCAACATTTTGTACCCAAGACTACGTTTATTCTGCACGTCTAAGATATATTGGATGCATAAATTGGCTATTACGTTGTTTCCTGATGTTCAGTAGCTAAACTAATCCTCTGTTGATTAAAAAAAAAAGGAAAAAAGTTTGTTTTGCGCATGCGCAGTTTAGACATCATTCTTCAGGGTTCTAGGGTTCTGTAGGGACTTGTGGAAACCCTAAAGTGACATGGTTCCATGTTACCATGGAGACACCATCTCAAGCAGGCCTTACATAAACTGATTAAATCCAGTTTTTAACCTCACCTGCTGCTATTAAAAACCTCAGTGAGTTAGACTTTTGTAACGCATGTGCTTTTATGTTCATTTGTAAACGAGCAACTGTTGATTTTTGAGATGCAGACAGGTGAGAGAGATGCAACATGGGCAGGGGTGGGCCAAAGTGTGACTCCAGGAAGCCACAAAGTCTGATATCATGCCTTACAGCAACCTGCATCAGTGAGTTGGCTTCTCCCAGCTGGCATTTCATTAAAAACACCATTTAATCACTCCACGTAATCATCTGACGATCCCCTTCCTTGTAGATTCCTCCACCTGGAGCTGAGTGCTCGGTCGAGTGTGTGTGAAAGGAGATCCCGTCAGCCTCCATGGCTTTCTCATCAGATCCATTCCACAGGGAGAAGCCTCCTGGAACCCATGGGACTCACACAGCTACACGGAACCTCTTACGAAAGAAAGAGCAGCGCCGGCATGGAATCCGATCCTCCTCGCCCATGGGTCGGGTCATCCTCATCAACTCTCCTGTGGATGGTAAGGAGCAGCCTTTGCAGAGCAAAATAGTCTGGTTCTGACCAGCTACTGCTTCATTCTGGTTTATTAGTGCTCTTAATGAATAAAACCAGACTTTAAATTCACAACATGAAGCTAAGATACTGTAACAAGCCTCATATTTTGTGTAACACGAACTTTTTAAAATTTAAATGTAAAAATGTAAAATTTATGATGGAAAAAGTGTGAAAACCACTCCGTTAATTGATAATCCCAACATATTTTGGGCAAACAGTCACTACTTAAAGCTCTAATGATAGTAAACTGTTTATTAACAGTTGGTAACTTATAGGAGGAAGTTATAAATTACTTGCACCGTTACATCTTCAAATCAAACAACAAAGTACTTACATGGGATCAGAAAGCAACTCAAGTGTATAAATCAGCAGAAACAAAAATCCTAATCTAAAAATGCAACTTTTACTACGTCTGTTACTGTTTTAAATAACTAAATTACTGCTGAGTCAAGATTTAAAGTAAAAGCAATCCTATCATTTAATATGTTAAAATATTTAAGGAATATTTTTTTGAAAAACATTTAGTAATAATCGTGAAGCTCCACTCTACTGCAAAATATGGTCATTTGAGATATATATGAACTATTATATGAATAATAGATGAACTATTAAATGCTGAACTTCATTTAGGATCATAAATAACTTTATGATTCACGTTTTATTTACAGTTTGTGTAAACTCGGAACTGTGAGCATGCCGATATTCATTGCAGTAAATCTGCATTTTAAACTCGTAGGATTTCATAGATTTTATTAGATAAATAACTTTTCGTGTAACTAATAACTAATCTTTTCATGTCCATTGTTTTCTTAGGTGGAGATGACAGTGAGGACCTCCACACAATCACTGTGGATAAGAGTTTGGACGGGAAGCTCGGGTTCAGCGTGCGTGGAGGCTCGGAGCACGGCCTCGGCATCTTCGTCAGTAAGGTGGAGGACGACAGCACAGCAGGTCAGCGGCGCTTTGTGGAAAGCGCTAAAACACGATCTTTGTTTGCTGCCTGACGATGAGATCTTCCGCACGCTTCCGTTTGTGTGTTGGCTTGCAGAGGAGGCGGGCCTGCTGGTGGGGGATAAACTGGTGGAGGTGAATGGCATCAGCCTGGAGAGCATCACCATGAGCAGTGCTGTGAAGGTCCTGACGGGCAACCACAGGCTGAGGATGGTGGTGAGGCGGGTCGGGAAAGTCCCAGGCATCCGCTTTTCCAAAGAGAAAACAACATGGTGACCCGTCCTGTTTCAGATTAAACAATCTCAAAAATAAATGAGCTGTTTTCCTGATTGTATCTTTCCTCTTGGTGTTACTTATTCAGGGTGGACCTGATCCACAGGCGAATGGTGGTGGAGGAGAGCGGACGGACACCTTCGGAGGTTAGCTCAGGCAGCGCCCTCCAAAGGATCGTCCACCTTTACACCACCTCCGACGACTACTGTCTGGGCTTCAATATACGGGGGGGAAAGGAGTTCGGCCTGGGCATCTATGTCTCCAAGTAGGTACAGAATCCACTGAAACAGGCTTGTAGAAGTAGTGAAGGTGCACCAAAAATCATGAAGTGTGCTTTAACGAATCCAACACTAATCAAAGGAAAACAGATTTTGTCAATACTGATCACAGGTTGACTTTCCTTCCAAGGAACCAGACTCTTGTACGATCCTTTAAAGTGATCCTTATCAACATCAAAGTCCATGCTCAATAATCCAGGTATACAATCCAACATTTTTCAGTCAGGTCATCTGGACAGTTTTTTTTTTTTGTGCTGAAACGTTTCACCTTCCATCCGGAAGACTTCATCAGTCAAGGAAACACACAACACAAAACTGATTCTTACTTCAAAGTGGAACAAACCAGTTATGTTGGTGCTAAGATGGTCTCTTTGGCATGCCCCCTCTTCCGTTGCTGGCCCTCTTCCTCGTCGACAGTCATGTCAAACTGGTTCAAAACAACAAAGTCCATGCTCAATAATCCAGGTATACAATCCAACATTTTTTCAGTCAGGTCATCTGGACAGTTTTTCTTTTTTTGTGCTGAAACGTTTCACCTTCCATCCGGAAGGCTTCATCAGTCAAGGAAACACATGGAGCGCCGGCAACGGAGGAGGGGGCGTGCCAAAGAGACCATCTTAGCACCAACATAACTGGTTTGTTCCCCTTTGGAGTAAGCTGTTGGGGGAAGAATCAGTGTTGTGTTGTGTGTTTCTTTGACTGATGAAGCCTTCTGGATGGAAGGTGAAACTTTTCAGAGTCAGAGTTTCTTTATTGTCATTCGCACCTCATGTGGTACATGTGGTGGAGCAAAATTATGTACACAGGGTCCCAGTTACATCCAACAATAAAATGTCTAAGAAAAACAGTAATAACATCTAAGAAAAACATCAACTAAATATACACTAAGCACTCATAACATAAAAACATTGAACATCACCACAAACATGAACATGAGTCTGTGAGCAGATGTGCACGCATGAACACATCAACATTGAAACAGATCAGCAGCAACATGAAACAGATCAGCAGCAACATGATATGGTTTTTCACAGTGATTATTCTAGTTAGAGATTCATGAGTCTAACAGCCTCAGGGTAGAAGCTGTTCCTCAGTCTAGTGGTTCTACACTTAATGCTCCTTAACCTCCTTCCTGAGGGGAGTGGGGCAAAAAGTGTGTGTGCTGGGTGGGTGGGGTCCTTCATGATGCAGGTGGCCCTCTTCCTGCATCTGGAGGTGTAGATGTCTGTGATGGTGGGGAGGCTGATTCCAACAGATTTCTGTGCAGCCTTCACCACTCTCTGCAAAGCTTTTCTTTCTGCAGCTGTGCAGCCTCCATGCCACACATTGATGCTCGAGCACAGGATGCTCTCCACTGCACACCTGTAGAAGGAGGTGAGGACTGAGCTTCCCAGACCAGCTCGCCTCAGCCGTCTGAGGAAGTAGAGTCTCTGATGAGCTTTCTTGATCAGGCTGGTGGTGTTGTTGCTCCAGCTGAGGTTGTCATTCATGTGTACACCCAAGTACTTGTAGCTGGAGACCACTTCCACCGCAGATCCTCTTATGTTCAGGGGGGTGTAGGTGTTTTTGTTCCTTCTGAAGTCCACAATCATCTCCTTTGTCTTCTTCACATTGATGTGAAGGTTATTCCGTCTGCACCAGCTCTCCAGGTGTTCCACCTCTTGCCTGTAGCTGGACTCATCATTGTTTGTGATGCATCCCACCACCGCTGTATCATCTGCAAACTTTACAATGTGACAGCCTGGATGGGTAGCTGCACAATCATATGTGAGCAGAGTAAACAGAAGGGGGCTCAACACACATCCCTGAGGAGAGCCAGTGCTGAGGGTTATGGTGGAGGAGGAGAGGTTGTGGATCCTCACTAACTGTGGTCTGTTTGTTAAAAAGTCTAGTACCCAGTTGCAGATGGAGGGGCTTAGTCCTAGTGTGAATAGTTTGTCCATCAGGGTTTGGGGGATCATGGTGTTGAAGGCGGATGTGAAGTCCACAAAGAGCATACGGACGTAAGAGTTTTTCTGCTCCAGGTGATTGAGTGCAGTGTGGACCACAGAGGAGATTGCATCCTCTGTTGATCGGTTCTCACGGTATGCGTACTGATGAGGGTCCTCGTTGATGTTGATGGTTGTTTTGATGTGAGTCATGACCAGTTTTTCAAAGCATTTAGCGACTATCGGGGTGAGGGCCACTGGCCGATAGTCATTCAGACCAGTCACTGTAGAGCTTTTTGGGACTGGGATGATGGTGGCAGTCTTCAGGCAGGTGGGAACTGTCTCCAGGGTAAGTGAGGTGTTAAAGATGTCTGCCAGCACCTCACCTTTTCAGCACAAAAAAAGAAACTGTCCAGACGACCTCATTGAAAATTGTTGGGTCCTTATCAACAGTTCTGCAGCTTTCTGAATGCCTTTTGATTAAAAAAACTCTACAGCAGATGAACTGATTATGAAAACGTAAAGATCACTTTAAGAGGTTACAAGTAAGTTCAGCTCATTGGGAGTATTCCTTGAAGGAATGCTTATTCCCCGACACCTTTCATACCTGAGTTTTGGACTAAACTCATCTTATTATGATAAATGACAGAAATAGAGCATTTTGGTCAAACTTAAAAATAACTGTGTCCAATCTCATGCAGTGATACTAAGTCTCTCATGGTCTGTTAGCACTTCAAGTATACGTTAGAGTCTCAGCTACTAACTCTCCAAATTTTAATTCAGTATCTGAAAAATTGGTAGAATTGTGTGTAGAATATATCACAATACTGTACAGACAGGAGCAAAAACATCTTTGTTCCACCTTTGCCTTTTGGCAGCAGATACCATATTTTCCGCAGTACACGTCACACCGCTGTATAAGTCGAATCAGTCCAAATATGTCTAATAAAGTGGGGAAAAAACATAAATGTGTCGCTTCGCCATATATGCCACATCTATTATGCATCACGGCTGACGCGTCGCGTTAATTACGCGTCCGGTTGATAACCCAGAAATGTGGGACGGTGTGCCAAAAATCGATTGGCTGCCAAATGGCAGCCGCAGGAGCGTGCACAGGCAGACTTAATTTAACAAGATTAACACATAAAAACAATTGTTTGTTTGCTCAAAATTATAGTAAAATTGTGTCTCAGTTTAATTTTTACTTAATACAAGGACTTTATTGGTCAAATCAGCTGCATTTCAAAAGTATTTGCTGCCTCGGTGCTCTGGGAGCGCGCAGACGGGGAGAAAATCAGGAAGGAGGAACACTGTGCATTTCTTCAAAATTTAATAAGATAACCACCTAAAAACAATTATTTGTTTGCTCGACTTTATAGTAAAAGTGTGTCTTAGTTGAACTTCTACTTAATAAATGCACTTTAATGGTCAAATCAGCTGCATTTCACCGGGGCGACGCAGCGAAATGCAGCTGATTTGACGGTTGATCCAGGCGAGCTGGACGAAGGTGGCAGCTTATGGCAAGCCGATTGTGTCATCAATAGCCACTTTTACCTATTACATGACACAATGGCATGCCATACAGCTCGACGGCCGTCTAGCGGCTGAAAATGGTGGTGTTCAATATTTTCAGTCTGAATGAACGTCTCATATCTCAAACTAAAATTGGTTTATAAATGTGGGAAAAAATCCATAAATACGTCACTTCAGCGTAAAAGTCACAGAGCATTTAGATTATGCAAAAAACTGCAACTTATAGGCTGAAAAATATGGTAATCATGAAGGCTGGCTCAAGACTTTTGCACTGTACTGTTTTTCTACTTTTAATCTCTTAAAAAGCATCTTAAACCACAGTGACTTTTATAAACCTCCTAATTAAGAACAAATGTCTTGTGGTTTTGAGAAGTTGGAATAAGAGGAAAAGCTTAAACCTGTACCAGACATTTCTGCTTTTTTGCTGTTTTGCTTCATTGAACTGTACATATTCAGATTTCCAATAATAACCGCCTACATCTTTATTACATTGGCTTTAGGTGGATTAACATATTAGGACAATTTTATTACATCTTCTACCCAGTAGTTGGGCTAATATTTTCAGGTTGCAGTGCTTATTGTGCTTAAAATGAAAAAAGATTAACAAATGCTCATTGCACTGTTTGGTTATTATCAGCTTTAATTAAACGTTGGACTATTTATTTCTTCAGCTTTTAGTGACTTGTGTGTCTTTGTCTCAGACTGGATCCAGGCGGTCTGGCCGAGCAGAACGGAATAAAGATGGGAGACCAGATCCTGGCTGCCAACGGAGTGAGCTTTGAGGACATCAGCCACAGCAGTGCTGTGGAGGTGCTGAAGAGCCACACTCACATCATGCTGACCATCAAGGTGAGGCTGCAGAGTTTTGTTCTTCATCATCTGCTGCAGAATGCAACAAGTGTCAAAGAAAATGAAGGGCTAGTACGCTGATGTCATGGACGCTGTACTTACCAGGTAAAAGCTTAATTTTGATCAAGTTGGGACGTTGTGCAAAATGTAGACAAACGGTGCACATAAATGTTTAAAGTAATTGTTGTACTTTTAGAAAATAATTAGGTATAATTAAGTGTAATGGTATCAACACATCTCTAAAAGTTGTGGCAGGTCCATGTCTCCCACTGTAAAGCGTCTCCTCGTTAAATAACAGTCTCTAAAGCCCCTTTTGCACTGCCCCTACTCAGCCTGGCTCGGCTCAGCCTGGATTTGCACCTGCACTTTAGGACCGATTCTGAGACCGAGCGTTCTGCGATGAGTTACTCAAAGCAGTCTGCTCCTCAGATAAATAATATTAAATTATTATTTTTATATATAAGTGTTTCTGTTAACTTATTTTATATATGAATATTTCTGTTCAGTGCCCTGAGACGACTTCTGTTGTGACTTGGCGCTGTACAAATAAACTGAACTGAATTAAATCTGATGAACCAGATTCTACAAAAACATTTATATTTAAATCTAAAAAAGTTAAGTCTGGTCCTCGGGACATTCAAAAAACAAAAACAAACAAACAAAAACAATAATGTAGAAACGTTTCTTCTTTCATCCGAAAGACTTCTTCAGTCTGAGGAGCTTATTCAGCTCATAGCTATTTATATAAGACTGAGCTGAATTAATTATTAATTGTTGTTATTAATTAATTATTATTATTAATTGAGTCTCCGTATAAATGCACCTGCTCTGTGATAGTCTCAGGGTTCTGTTCAAAGCACAGAGAGCATCATGAAGCCCAAGGAACACACCAGACTGGTCTGGGATGCTGTCGTGGAGAAGTTTAAAGCCGGATTTGGATACAAAAATATTTCCCAAGCTTTAAACATCCCAATTCATTTTTCCATGGAGGAACATTATTCTGAAATTGTTCCTCTGTTTTTCCCAGACTGGTGAACCTCTGCCCGTCTTTATTTCTGAGAGATTCAACCTCTTAAAATGCTCATTTTAGACCCGTTCCTCTTACTGACCTGTTGACAAATAACAAAAAGTTGCACAATGCGCCTCCAGCTGTTTTCACCCATACACATTTACCCTTACAGACTTTTGTTGGACCTGTTGAATTTTTTGGAGATGTGTTGCTGCAATAAAAACAAAGCCCCCCCCCCCCAAAAAAAGGTACAATGCCTTAGTTTAACTATTTGATATGTTTACTCTGTTCTGTTGTGAATTGTTAGAATTAGAAAACTTGTTAAAGCGGAGTGCAGCTGTAAGGATGAGCTGAAGTGGCATTACTTCAGCTCTTTAGTCACCTCTGTGGTTAAACAACACGCCGTTGTGGAATGTTTTGGACCCTTCGGCTGCTTTTTATCCTTAATTCTGCCACACGTGGCGACCCCACCGACGTGTCTGCGCTGTGGTCGTTTTCCGTGGCCGCTCTGACAGCTGGCGTGCAGCCGTAATATTCCTCGCTCACTCGTTGGCAGCTTGGGTTTCGTGCTGTGAAAAATATCCCTGCGCTGTGCATAATTCACCAGGCAGCAGGATCAGGTGCTGATAAAAGCATGGAGAATGTGTTTTTGTTTTTGGCTCATGAGCTTTGTAAACAAAAACACTCCCAAGTTAGAAAGCAGCTGTTAAAGGATTACTTTGTTTGAAAAAATAACTTTCTTTTTTGCAGGTGTTTGTGGTTCTAGGGTTTCTCTTTATTAGGCCTGTTACGATAACCAATAAATCAATTAATCGCATGATAAATGAAAATTATCGACCTCGTTTTCATTTATCAGCTGTATCGTTTCTTCATGTCTCTCTTTCTACTGAAGACACTGGATGACAAAAGGCTCAACTCCGATGCTCTTCACTGACCCCTCCCCTTTCTCTCTTCTTTTTAAAATCCATTTTAACCGTCCAAATAGTGTTTTTGGATCGTTAAAAGCAGCTAAGCTAAGCTAACAGGCCAACCTCGGGGGGGGGGGGGACTCCCGTCATGTCGAAGCTCCAAAATTCACGGTTGAAACCCGTGCCTTCGTCTAAAAAGTTGTTGTTCTCTGCAAAAAGTAGCTGAGAACTTAACTAATTTTTTAAAATTAAAAGCTTTGTGTGAAAAATGCTATGCTAAAGAGCTCAAACCATGCGTCCGCCATTTTGAGAACCAAAAAACGGGAGCGAGAGACAGCCCATGTCACGTCAAGGGGCCTCCCTCCCATTTTTCTAGAGACAATCCATCCTTCGATTCAAACAGTCTTATGCTGCCATCTGGTGGTCAAAAAAGGCACGACACACAAAATTAACCAACATTTCTTCTTAAATTTGACAATTACTAATTCCTGTCAAATTTCAAACGATGTTATCGTTAATCCCAATATTTTCTGAGACAATTAATCGCCCAGGAAAATTTGTTATCGTGACAGGCCTAGTCTTTATCAAATATATGAAATCCCATAAGTTTCAGGGTCTTCTTTGTATTTCATTTGGATGTTTGTCGTATCTCCACAGGAAGCAGGCCGGTACCCTGCCTATAAGGAAATGGTGGCAGAATACAGGTGGCTCAATAAATGTAAGTAGTTTTGTTTTTGTGGAGTCTCTGGGTGCTCGGTATGTTCAATAAATAATCTTTTTTCTGTCGTGAGTAGTGGCCAACGGCACTCAGCAGTCGTCCTCCCAGGCCTCAGACTCCAACTCTTCGACTTCCTCTCTGTCCTCTGGGACTCCAGTCAGCTCTCTGAGCGGCCTGTCTCAGGTCATGTTCCCACCCAGCCTGCCGTTCGGTTCAGACATGGTGGACGTCTGCATCTCCACCGAGGACCTGAGGTCAGAGTCGCCTCGTTCGTTTATTTATTTTCAGCAGAACTGAAAAAAGTTGGCTTTGGATTACAGAGACATAAATTAGATTTAATCCAGATCTTCGCATTGATCTGAGGTGTTTGATGCAAGAAAGTTCATCCCTTCCCTATGATGTGCACATGCCTACGCTCAGATTTTGAATTTAGGAAATATATTTTGTGTAAAAAAAAAATATATATATATATATTTTGTACTTTGCATTCAAAGGAGTCGAGCTTTCTTTTATTCTTGCATGTAGCATGTAGATTTTTAACAATCCGTTCAAATACACCAAAATGCAGGAAATCACGTCTATTTTATTAATAATTTTCTGGGGGAGTTAAATTTGATTGGACTATATTTTACTTGTTTTGTAATCTGTCCTCTTTTTGTTTGTATACCAACATGACTTGTTTGTGAGTTGTTCTAAAAATAAACATATGTTTTGTAAATATTCAGGTGTGAGTCGGAGCTAACCGAGACCGCCATCCAGACAGACGTGTCTTCACAGAGGATCTCTGCAGACACCACTCGCAGCCTCGGACCCACCACCCTGCTCAAAGACACCGCCATCCGGGGGGAGGAGGGCGGCCGGTGGAAAGAGTCGCCCAAGACGGCCGTGCTGATGGCGCTCAGCAGGCCGAGCCGGCCCATCAGCAGGTCGCAGAGCCAGGTCACCGTAGCAGGTCGGCCTGAACGAACGACCCGACAGATGGTTCAAACACAGACTGAATGCTGAGCACACAGTGGCTAAAACGAAGTAAAGAAGCTAAAACAGTGTTGAAGCTAAAAGTAGCAGAACACTAGCGAAAAGCTAACAGAAGCTGAACACGAAAAGCTAACAAAGCCGAGCACAAGCTAAATGAAAGAAGAACACTGATTTCAAGTTAAAAAAGGCTGAACACTAAAAACAAAAATGAACACTAGCTAAAAGAAGCAGAACACTGGCTAAAAGTAACAAAATGCTAGCTTAAAGCTAAAAGTAGCAGAACACTAGCCAAAA